ATTGTGTAAAAAAAAACATTTCTTAACCTCACTTAATTTTCACATTTGAATTATATAAATTAGTTTAAAGAACATTTTGTTTTTCAGGTATGGTGCAAACAACAAACCGACATACTGCCGCGAACTTGAAGGAGGAAATTTTAAAATGTCTTGAAGAATATAATATTCGTATAAACCAAATTTATTCGTATACCACCGACAATGCAGCCAGTGTATTAAAGCTGTCGAGATTATTGCAAGGAGTGCATCACGATATTATAGACAATGAGATGGTCGACATTGACGTTGCCGAGTGCAATCTGGTTGAATCGAATGTCGCGTCGGTTTTTTCCGTTGTGCGTTGCGTAGCACATGCAATTCAATTAGCGGCTGATGATGTAATAAAAACACTCGAAAACGACATCGAAGAATGTAGAATAATAGCTAAGAAAGTTCGAACCTTAGTGACATCGGAAAACGATGAAATCAGGTTACCATGCTTAGATGTCATAACAAGATGGAATTCAACTTACAATATGATATGCGAAATTCTTTCGCTTAAAGAATTCATTGAAAACTTGGACAATTATAACAGCTTTGACATAAATTGGATATTCATCCAAAATTTTGTAATGGCATTTGCGCCATTGGCAAAATGCACTTTAAAACTTCAAAAGGAACAATATATATTGGGAGACTTTCTTCGCGATTGGCTAGCATGTGAGTTGGAATTGGAAGAATTATCTTCTCTAAACCAATACGCAGTAGCTCTCCTAAATGCGATGAGGAACAGAAAAGATATACTTTTGAAGCATGATGCCTTTGCAGCCGCAATATATCTTGATCCGCGCTATAATTTCAATGGTACACCTTTTCTTACTGAAGATTGTAAGAAACGCGCAATGGTATGAAAGACTAAATACCGCACAATTTCAACAAAACTTGCATATAGCAAAATTTTACTTGTTCTACAAAATAATCTTTTTTTTTACACATACAAACATATATAGTTACCTAAATTTAGAAAGGTCTTGACTATATTTTTTGAATTCGATTTCTTTGCCT